TCATGCATAAATGCTTAAATTACTCTATGGGAGAATATTCAATCTTGGGTTTATGAAAACTTTCCCAACAAATAACTTCCGTTGATTCCAATTGAACTTGGCGATATTTTATGAAAAATTAATATTCAGTAGGAGGATGGAAAACCGCCACCTGAATTGATTCCCACGCAATATCCTTTTAGAAGCTGAAGCCAAAGCAAAAAGCCGAATAAACGCCGTCGGTGACGCCGAGGAGAAATTCAATTTCATTACAAACCCAGTCAGTGCTAGAAAAATGAATCCGACGGAGACCACGACCGGAAAATGAGTTTAGAATTCTTTTAATACAACATCGAAAAGGGTCTAATGAATTAATTTGTTGCAAGTGTGATAATTACGCTGCACTAACCTAAATGGATTTTGTATTGCGTTTTCAAGAGCATTTCGATAGACAATCGTTTTTAAAACTGGAGAACTTTGTCCATCGATCATCTCCAATTTTTATTCTATCCTTCTTACATTAGATTGAAATCCCCATATTATTACCACCAATTTTCATAAGTAATCTGGTCTTGGACCGAGGTCGCAGATCATAAATATTTTTTAACTACGAACCTCTATTTAGCAAATGCTTATGTATTTATGTACATCAAATAATTATTAAGATCTCATGTACCAACTACCTACATGCATTAAATAATAAACTCGATTATAACAGACCTGGCGACGTCAAAATGTCGAACGTTTGGTTTAGAGTAGGTACATACTAAAGTATACACAGTAATAGACATCGTTACGGCTACGTTTCGAATCTACCTACCGAAACAACAAACAAAGTTCCAGTAAATTCTTAGTTCCCAATTTAGTCAGTTGTCTCTCTTAACCAAATTACTGAATTTGTCAACTTCAAAATGAGTGTAAGAATCAGATTATCCTTAGAATTGGAATTTTAATCAAATTGCTTCACTATTTACGAGCAATTTACGTGAGATTAGACGTTATTTGGAGCTACGACTGTTTGGTGTGTTTTTGACATCGATCGTGCCTTCTCGTGGACCACAATGTTTATTCGGTGAACGCGACATGGGTTCAGATGGGGATTTATTTTCGACTGGGGCTCAAGATACGACTCTTCGTGATTGGACCTGTAATCCGAAGGCTCGCAGAATTAGGCCGGCGGCTCGCTACGCGAAACAACCGCTGACTCGGTCCTGTCTAGTTAAACATTTTATTGTTTGACATACTTGACAGTTTAATTAAAGTTTAATCTCTTAACGTGATGGTTCACTAATCCGCAGCGGTCCGTAGCGATCCGCAAATTTGAGTACGCTCTCACAATTGAATATTCAACGAATTGTACACACCATCACCTGGGCCATTTGGCATCCTTTAACACGAAAGAAAGTTAACAGATCCCTAACTGAATTTAAACTTTTAGCAGTCCTCGTCTAAGCCCAGTAATTAACAGAAAGCGTAGTTATTATCCGAAACACGGAAACTTTCTGGATAGGAATTTGGACTTACGATTCGTGCTTTTTTACCTGCAAAGTTAATTAATTTACGGGATTCCAGTTCACAAACTTATCTGCTTATGCAAATAAGAAGATTGCCGTCCTTCGTAGGGATTTTTAAATTAAATTTGAATTTTATTTGTTAATTCGGGATAAATTCTTGATCTTGGCGTTCCACTTTGTTTTGTTATTTTAAGTTTATTTTTATTTTTTTAAACAGGGGAACTGTTGCTACCATTTCGAGAGGAAGAAACCTCCGAAGGATTCTCCTGGTTCTGGTTGCACGGCGTTTGGGCCTTGCCAGGCATGTTACACAGACTGTGTGTTTGCTCGAGCTGTCGACTCACCTGGCTGCTGTTACTATTGCACCTGAAGTTGAATAAAAAATATTTATTTGTTACTGTTCTTTGTAAATCATTGGTGTTCGGTTGTTACATTATGCCCAAACAATTTGGCGGCTATATTTGTTAGTAAAGTTTTTATGTAAAGTTATTGTTTTATTTCATGAAAACATTACTGAGAAGTTCTATATTAAAACTGCAAACCAGTCACCAATTATTTTTCACTAATCATCTTTTAGTTTTATACAAGTTCAACATATTAAACATAACATCGATATGCTTGTTATTATTTGTCTGAGTTTATGCTAATGCTAGACCCGCTAATGAGCCAATGTGTCTGAAAAAGTGTTATTGAGACAGAAAAGGATAGAAATCAAAAATACTCAGTGAATAAGGAGATTGGGTCAATCTTACATATACTAATAGGAATGGAATAAGTTTGTATGTTTGTTACCCCTTAACGTCAAAACTACTGGAGGGATCGGGTTGAAACAGGTGTAGATCAATTAGATCATAGTCTAGAACAACATATAAGTTACTTTTATCCCACGCCAACGCGGGGGAAGCCACTGGCAGAAGCTATTATAGCATATCTGGTTAAAAGCAGTTACCATTTAGATAAACATATAGCAACATCAAAATGCAAAACTACTCTTGTACTTAACCAACCATGGGAACGCTGGTATGCCGCGGGCAGAAGCATAAGAAACATCACAGGGTTTGATTTCCCTTCCGACAAGGGAACTAGGTAAAGTCTTATATTGTTTTGAAGATGCCAAAATCTAGAAAATTGCTACTGTATCTACGCGTACAACACGTCATACATCACGTATCTGCCAAGGACGCGGACGTAATGCCACTTAGAAATGATTGAAGCACCAGAATGTCAGTGGTGTATTTATGTGTGCGTGTACTTGCAACACCGTAATATATGAAGTGTAATAACGGGTCCTGTCACGCGACCGATATCATAGTGTCAATGTGTGTATTCTGCGTGTAAGTAGTCAGGTGCCACAGTTGTTGTTTCAAGAGACTATATCTGCCTTTTCTTTAACGTCATTGGTACCTACATACTACGCAACGAAAGAAAGAAAGAAAAAGCATTTATTCGACAGTAGGCACGCACACAGATACAAAATTAAAAAAGAAAAGAAGAAATGAATACACGTATTTAATTTATTTATTTGAGAGAACAGAACAGAACAGAGTATAACAACACAGTGACAATACAATAATAACACAGTAATTAAAAATTAATAAAAACGCATCATAAGTTCTTTGTTGCTTTAAATACTCGGAATTTTAATTCGATTCCAGATTTGACAATTTCAGTGTTGCAACGTAATGACAAGTACTAAATAGTGACGTTGTGAAATTATTCGATATGGAAATAGAATATTTAAGGATCGATTCTTCTCGTTTATAATTTTACTCTCATAAATTAAGTATATCAGGAAATAAAATATTTCTGACCGATAATTTAGTTTTGACGATTAATTAACGATCTGAAACTTTTCTTTTATAATTGGGTGTGAAATAAATAAAAAAATGTAATCATGAAGGAACATAATAAATAAAACAGATAGATGTATTATGGTAATAATTTATTTTATAGGTAATTTGTCGCCGTCATCGCTATCGCTATCGCTGTCACTTTCTGTAACATTTATTATAAAGAAACACACTGATTGTTTATTGATTTTTGTGTTCATCACTACACTACTCTAAGTGGTATCATTATTTCACAAAATGACAGTAGCTTATGTCAACCCTGAATCGAATTAAAATTCTGACTTATAGACTCATTATAGACTAGACGTTGAAAAATGGCGGACATACCTACATTGACACGAAGGACATCTGTCGCGTGACAGGGCCCGTCATTACACTTCACACACATTACGGTGTTGCAAGTACACAGTACACGCACATATAAACAAACCATTGACATTTTGATACTTCGATCATTTCTAAGTGACATGACGTCCTTCTTTTATCAACGTCTTTGGTCCCAGGCCATGCCATTAGAAGAATATGAGAGTGAAGAGTAGAAATATTAAACCAAACGGGTATATATTTATTTATGTACTAGCTGTTACCCGCGAGTTTGTCCGCGTAGAATATGAGTTATATAAGACAACTATTTTATTATAATAACTATCGTGAGACATACTAAATTAACTAAAATCGCGGGTTACTCACGTGAATATACTGAGAAAAGCTCTACTAGTTACATACTACGGTCGCGCAACGTCGCGCAGCTCACCGCGCACGCTGCTCATGAGGAAGAACCCCTCTGTGGTTCGAAACTAGTAGAACTATTTTTTGTTTCCAAAATAAATATAGCCTATGTTACTCCTTAGTTTTTTTTAAACAAATTTATTCTGTGAAATTTGACACAGGCCTTAAATCTAAACTCGCCAAACTTTAACAATTGATGGCGAGAGACGCTCGTTAGACAAACAATTCAAGTTTATTATAATATGTAGGTAGGTGCAATTGCAATATTTTTTTTCTTGATTCGGGGAAACAAACAAAAATGTTATGTACAAAAAGTTATTACATATGCTAATACCAAAATTAATGTCCAAGTACGTATCTACAACACGATGAAAGCGTTACGAACTTTGACACCCCAAACTTCTTCAAGCTTCCGAAAGCTTCAAGTGCCGAAGTAATTATATTTTATTACACACATGAACGTAAACCTCTGAGTTACAACCGACAAAACAATCCACTTACGTACTTATTCATTCTTTAGTCTTATTACTTCCAATAACTTTTTAGGCGTGCTCTGTTTCCCGTAACAAATGAACGAAATCTGTACGAGACATAAAGACGAACGATCAATTTGGCGTTATTACTTTGATTCTCAGCTATCAGTGCGTAATAAGGCGTAACAAAGATAATATTTTGTTGCAGACAACACGTCGGCCACAATCCGCCAGGCAATCAATCGGAAAAGAGAAGATCCCGGAGATTTGTACTGAAACCTGAATAGAGTAGTGAGAGCAAGAATTTAGTACCAGTGTGTGAGCAAAATGCGTATAGTGTGTTGTGTGGACAGTGCGTTAGTGTTTGTGTGTTGTGCCTGTGTCTGAGGGGGGCCAATGCGAAGGCGGCGCGGGAAGGGGGCGGGGCGAGGTGTGCGGTGACTGCCCGCTGCACCATGCGACCGCCGCTGCCGCTGCTGCTGCTCGCCGCGTGCGCCGCTTGCACCGCGCAAATTGCGTGGACGCCGATATTCCTCGACGGCAGCAGTAAGTATTATATTGACCATTATATGTAGATAATATGTAACCTCTTTTTGCAAGAACTAAATATGAAGGAAGGTTTATGGAAGATCAACAATAATGTAAAACCACTTTATATGTAGAGGAGTTACTGTAATTGTTTTGTACTTCTTCGTATCGATTACGCCCTACCAGGGCAAGATAGGAATATCAACATTTTCTGTTCATAGGTCAAGTGGATTTGTGGACGCAATCATCGTCGGGGTGCGCATGCCCCGGCGGTGATGGCGACGACTGCGCGTGCTGCGTGCGCGACGGGGCGTGTCCCTGCGGCGATGTTGCGCCGACGCGTTGTGCGCAGTGCGGGCTGGAACAGTACTGCGCGAACAGTAAGTAAAAGACTGATGGCTTTTTAAACCATCAATTGGTAGTATGCACCTAATAGGCTAATAACATAACATAACATTACGCCTTTTATTCCCGAAGGGGTAGGTTTTTTGCCACTGTACAATGTAACACTCACTTTTCATTATTTATGTTGCTTGCTTGTTTACTTGCGACCACTCGGTCAACGAAGCGGTCGAGGTAATAGGGCAACCGGCTGCCGAGCAACGTGTTGCGGGTTCGATTCCCGCACTGAACAACTCATTGTGTGATCCACAAATTGTTGTTCTGGGTCTGGATGTCATGTGTATGTGAACTTGTTTGTTTGTAAACGCACCCACGACACAGAAGAAAATCCTAATGTGGGGAACGTTATTAAAATGAAAAAAAAGCTATTTAATATTTGTATGTTTCTTAAAAAGTTCTCCAGAAGCGAAACGGCTGTTAAAATTCAGCTAATTGACCGTTGTATATGAAAGTCGTAATGGGTTCCACGTTGTTTCCACTTAGCTTTTATTTTTGTTCAAGTTTCATTTCTTATTCCGTACAAAATTACCGTTCTCTACAGAGATGTATCTTTGTTACAAGAAATTCAATTATTATCTATGCGGCTGGCAGAAAGCCAAGTTATCATTGATATATTTCCTTTTCCTGTACAAAATTAATATTTTTAATTTTATGGTACGATACACAGGGTCGTAATAACAAATGTCGGTCGCTATATCGAAGATTTGGGGTCGCTATGTACTAGTAAACTTCTTTATGTCAGGTTTATAGGTTTCATCTATAAGTTGATCGGTTGGTATCCATTTTTAAAATTATTTCAGATATTAAACACTATGCGTACTTTTTAATTATGTTATGTATGTATCTAGTGTACAAAAATACAAAAATAAAGATCGCTAAACGTTCTGCGGTGGTAGTACTAGCTATAAATAGTTCCTCCTCATTTAAAAAGAGCTGCATTACGCCCTCTTTTCTCTGCAATATATTACAGTACACCCACGTTTGAGCTATTTTAGTCCCACGTAACAGGCTGTGAGCCTTTTGCCATACACCGGCGACAAATCCAGATTTCGTGCCATAACTGAACTGGTTCCTTGAATAAAAATGCTCTCTTTCTTAAGTTTTTTGGTCTTTTCATCTTTCACTTAGCTGATAAGAATACTTCATAAACACATACACAACTAACTTTTACCCGCGGCTTTGCCTACGTATTCCTGTTTTATCCCATGAGAACATTTGATCAGGATAAAAAGTATCCTACCACATTAGTCAGCCTATACCCTGCCTGTAGCATCAAATTTCACCAAAATCCATTTAGTAGTTTCAGCGTGATTGATAGACAAATATCCAAACAAAAAAACTTTCACATTTAAAATATTAATGTCATAGTGTAACTAGACAATGTCAGCTCATGCCGAATAATATTGCCAGATATACATCCATTACTGATACTCTATGTTAACTTGGTAATAGTTTTTATTGTGTACACATGTATGCTACAATGAATCGGTTTATGAATTATTATTAGATATCAAATACCACGAAGCACATTACGTTTCAATATAGGTACCGTTTGGTTAAACGCTTCGTCCAATTTACAACAGCCTTTATATTGGAATAGACTGCAATTATATCCGTTTGTTTAGCAAAGTGCTCTATTGTTAAATCTGTCAATTTAATGACCGTTACTATTATACAGTGTGTTCTAGTTCCGTTTATCTAAATTAGTGGCCATGTTTCAACATACGTCGATAAACATAGTTTGATGTCCGAAGCAATTGATCAGATGAAGTCAGCTAACAGGCTTCTAGGCGGTGACACGAAGTTATTGGACCCTTGTCAATCATTTCTATACTGTCATCGCAATTTATGGGTCTGGTTAGTTGCAAGAAGATAAGTTATTGTTAAAAATGTCTTATGGCACTATGGGATAGAGCGCATACGAGAAGTAGGATCATCCGATAATACGCAATCAGTGCCTCAATCAGCTATAGGAGTTACAGTTACAAGTGCACATCACATCAACAGCCTATAAATGCCCACTGCTGAGCAAAGCCTCTTCTCACACGGAGAAGGTTTGAGCATTAGTTATCACACTTGCTAAATGCGGGTTGGCGATTACAAACTTATAATTAGATATTATAAGCCCAGGTTTCCTCACGATGTTTTCCTTCACCGTTTGTCAGTGGTGTCTAAATAATTTTAGAAAGTACATATAATTCGGAAATAGTCACATTGGTACTTGCCGTTGGTAGGTTTCGAACCCCCACTCTCCTCATCCAAAATATTCTACTCGTAAAAGACCATTTCTAAAACCATATTTTCTTTCAGTGTGCAACATCACGATCGACTCGCGCATACTCAAAAGCAAGTCTGGCAAGACGTTTGGCCAGATCAAGTCACCTTCCATCGAGGGTCCTGGCGCCTGTTCCTACTTCTTGCAGCCAGACGCTGGCCAGAGAGTCGAAATACAGTTGTACCGACTTGTCTCCGTCGGAAAATTCAATGGCTCTAGGTAAGTTCTAGAAGACTATTCAAATAGAGCTCAAATAAAAATTATTGTTGCATTGACATAGGTACATTAGGCCCTTGACAATTTTCTTTAAAATTTCACTATAATCAATATAGAAACTTATCATAAAACTTATTGAATATGGAATATATTAATCATTTGCGAATAATAACAACGTGATTAGCCCAAATGGAATATTAATACAGACTCCATTTGGTCGTGATTTAAAATATTAGCTTTAATGCCTCTTGCGGTTGACTGGCATATTTAGCATAATTGAAATGCATATGAACCCCAGTATAATTATCTATGCAATCAGGAACTAAGTTCCATTTAACCATACCGATTTACTGATTTATCTTATCCGTGAATAAGCGGGTTATTAATTTTGCGTTTTGGACATTAATTGTGTTGTATTGAATTCTGCTTTAATTTGTTACGATAATTATGTTTTAAACAGTTTATTATCCAGTAAATATTGATATTAAAATTGTTATTAATTATATTTGTTTGGTTATTGTGATATTAATGGATTTTATGGAATTGTTCGGTTCTATGCGTTTTGATTGGCTGTTCGGTTTCCCAAGTATACATACAATATAGCCAACTGTATAGCTAAATCGAAGGATTGAGGCATTTTGTATATAATAATGCTTATGTTGTCAAGTTATAGGGACCACGATCTTCCATAAATATTGAATACTTCAAGTACGAATTTTATAAACGCTGTTCTTCAATTCTCCATAAAATGATGTAAATAATTTATTGATAATCCCATACAATATCCATAACAATGATTTACAATAAGTAGCCACATAATTTTCTCATAAATTTTCATGAAACGTTAAATGCAATGGGTTGGAAGTAATTTTAGTGGCACACGGACATATGGACAAGTCAAAATCCTTGTCACATGCAGAATCATAAAAGGCAATCCATAAAAATCATATCCGTCGATCGGAATCATAGTTTCGCTGAACATGTATGAGAGTTATATGAAGCGGGACGTGATTGGTGGAAAAGAATCGGGTACGACGGGTCTCGAGGTTTCCGCGCATTGCTATGATCAATGTCCCGTCAAATTGAATATTTGCAGGAGATCGTCTAGGATAGATATCGTCCACATTAATGTAACGCTCGATACATACTTGTGTACATACAAACGTGTGTGTTATATTGACAAGTGAGGCATATTTCGGAGTTCATTTGATTGTGATCCTTAACAAGAGCCACGAAAAACGAATATTTCATAATGCAATCAATATAATAGGGTAGGCGACTAATTTTTATTTTAATGTCCGTCTGGTAGATTATTTAAAAACATTAAACACGTATTTTTATTTTCTTACGGAAACGAATAGTTTCGAAGATATATTGATTTGAAATGTCGCGTGACGTCACTTCTCAGTACATTTTATAAGTACTAAGAAATGACGTTATAACCCCCACTCCTAATCTTTGATTCGTTTTATATAGGTATTGTTTTATTATACGACAAAATAAAAAATACGTGTCTAATATTTTTTAATTACCTAACTTACGAACTAATTATATTTTTAATTTTTATACCCTGTCATCATCCCCATTTTGGTGTCTGCATCTCACAAGTATATTAGACAGGAATAGCCATTTTATAAATACTTTAGTAACACATGCTTTCAAGTATAAGGCATAATCACTTTATTAATTGAAGTGTAAATGTGATTTGCCTCTTAACCCTAAATGAACTTGCACCGTGACGTCATCACGTCTCATTTGTGTCTCAGTCACGCTCTACATGTCCGGTGATTGGATGTCGATCATATATGATCATACAACTAAGATTGTTATCACTAGCTATAGTCTGGACAAAGCTTCGGGCCGATGTAACATGGCAGTACTAAGGCTTCATTATCGGTCGGCGATAGCCAGAACCTCACAAATGCCCGCGGTTATACGTTAACATAGACTATGAATACGGGAGTAGGTAGAGTAATATAGTTCAAGCTACATGAGAATAATGTTAAGTGTAGTATTTGTGAGATAGTATAATGCTTGGTACATTTTTATGGGAGTTAAGCATATACTTATATCGTTGTTGGCAGCGGGCAGCTTGCCCAGAGCGCGAGTGCCGCAGTTGTCGGATCCAAGACAAATATGTCTGGATTATGTTGTGCACATTCCGTATGTATCTGCTGACGGTAACTTATATTTACGTTCGTTTCGTTCAGCATTTAAGTATACAGCGTTTTAGGTCATCTCTATCGTTAGCGTCTATAACATTTTGTTGTTATTTTTATGCAGATGTTAAAATATAACTAAAAGTTTGGGAGGATTCTGAGCAGCTTTTTAAAGATCTTTGATGCTATACTTATTTTGTAAACGCGATATTTGTAACCTAATAATGTAAAACGCTAAAGTAACGACATGTTTTTATTGTCACTTGCATTAGTTCCACTCAGGCTGTCGTGTCATGTATTCAACCAATCTTTTTAAAATGTTGAAGTGCAAAAAAGGACGTAACACAGATTTTGTTATACAAATTAAATGATATCGTTGTTTCTTCAATAAATTTCACAATAGTCAAAACACCGCTGTGCTTTGATTATTGTGAAATTTATGCACCGCTGTGCTAAATTTTACGTTTTTTGTCGCAGTTGCGTTGGCGGCTGGTTGCAGTTGGGCAGCGCAAGCGCAGTGCCAGCGGGCGGCGCGCGGAGACACGACTGTGTGGTGCAAACGAACGATACACACCACCCGTCGTGCTGTTCGCCGACCACGGCGCTTCTACTTTAGAGTTTAGGTAAGTACTAGGAATTATAGCACTGGCTTCTTAAAAAATTAACTTTAAACTTCATTATTGCTTTAAACATTTTTATCTACGCTACGTAGCTAATAAGAATAGATGAGCAGAAAATCTCGCGACAAAATACATACAATCTAAAATTACAAATAAAAGGGTCATTACCTTCTCAAAATGCTTGCTCGGTTAGCATCGTAAGGTAAACTAAGTATAAACGGGCTGCTGTGAACATTCTATTTTTAACTTAATTGCTCCTAAATTTGTATACTTAGGTTCTCGATAAGCCTAAAAGCAGTGAAAGCACTTATTTTGATCACAAGCAACCTTTACTTAGTCAACTTAAATTTGTTGCTACGTAGGTGTATTTTGCAAACCTCTGTACATAGCGGTATCAGAATAAACTCATTATTTGCGGTAAACCGCTGCGCTACGGATGTCAGAATGAACCCAACGCTATCCTTCCCTATCCACATAGTTTGCTGTTTAAAAGGTAAACGTGTAGATTCATCGATCATTAAACGAAACTCGTTAAGCAATCCGGTGTACTCGCGCGGTGGTAATGAATCCAACCAAAATGAACAATAATTAATTACATTTTCATCCGCTAATGGGAACGGCAGGCACTCAAATGAGCATTATTTCCGGATAGTGAAGCGATGCGGCCGCGTGGAGCATTTCAGAATTTATCTCCATTTGCAGTTCGGTTCGGAAACGCGAATTCCGGTAGTGAGCGGCAGTCGGAATCGGAACAAAAGGTCGTCACAGCGGAACCGGTAATGCTCGATTCGGAATTGTGGCCGGTTGTCAGGGAGTGCTGCAAATGCTCTTGTCAGCTGACGACGTTGAATTGCTTGATTTTATGAACCTGCGTACTAGCGCTACGCTCGCTCGCTTGGAGCTTAGAGCGCTGCTGTGGTGCAGATTTTATGTCCTTTAATATATTGTGCACTGACTGTAGTGTTTTTAATTGAAGTAATAATTCAATAATGTCTTACGTGTTCTACGTATCTACGTAACATATATTTAACAAATCATAATTACTAAAAGACGATAGGTTATATTGATATTTTGTTTAGTTATCGTATCACAAATTACTAATCTGGCCCACTAAAACAAGAATAAACACGGAAAATCCAACATTTTATTTATCGTTAGTATGTAGGTAACCATTTTATTTGTGAACCCTTCTCACATATCAACATTTATAAGCGCCTGTAATACAGCCCTTTGTTACCAGGATAACAGAAAAGACTGTGAGGTCACAGTTCCTCGCGTTCTTCAGTTTCACGTCGCTAAGTAATACCCAAGGCGTTGGGTTTCACCCGAGGGGCGGCTCGCGGATACCCCACACAGGTAAATATAACCTAGAAACATTAAAAATGTACTGTTTTCTTTGTAAACAGCAGTCAGCGAGAATTCGACGCGTGAAATTGTTTCTGGTATAATTCTTATTCGCAAACAGACCCATTATTTCAAATAGGTACCTAATTAATTTTAATTGGATTTCAATCTAGCAAATTCAGAAACTTTACACCTAATATTTACGCTGAAACTTGACGTTTCAAAGGACGTTTTTACTTAAAAAGCGTCTTTGTAGATTTTGTATTACAATTTATTTCTGGGAAACAAGTTTTATGAGAGTATACAGAAAATTGGTCTTCAAGAAAAATAATGGCGGCTCGCTAAATAATTCACCTTCACAATATGGCCGTCAGTTTTTGTTTCAGTGTTAGGGTTCCTTTGTCTAACAGTTGAATTATTGCTAATTAGAGAGGTCAAATAAAGGACGCGGCATGATTCCCTATTCTTTATCTAGCCTTATACCTTATCCCGTGTCTCAAGACCCCTTGAAGGAGGATGGGAGCTTTCCTAACAAGCAGATGACCATTTCCTCTATATTGTGAAGGTATAATAGTGGTTTCCGGGTTTTCGTCCTTAGTCCATTGTGATACAAGGAATAATATCTTCAATGTTCAGTAGGACGTCTGCTACCAAGTAACTAAATATAAGTATGTACTTTTATAAAACTAAAACTGGTAAAACAAATCCTTTCATTATAAAATTAATATCATTCGTCTGGTTATCCCATTTCGCTGTTCAAACACACTTAAAAAGGGATTCTAATGAAATAAAAACTTTTTAAGTGGTAAAATGGATGGTGTCTTGCAGTTTAATGTGTTTTTGGTAGAACTGGATTCAGTGGACGTGATGAAAGAGGTAATTTTTTACATATTCAATAATCATTCCAAAGGTTTGTTTGAGTATTTGATTTATATTAGAGAGATTTTCTAGAGTGGGTTACAATTGCAACAATAAGATAAATTGTCCATATTGATATAGTTAGTAAGTATAGCCAAGGGTGTACCAATGTTAGCGTTATGTCAAGAAGATGGCATCAACTATAGGATAACTGTCTTGTCAAGATATTTTCGGAAGTAGCGTGGCGTTGGAGACCCTCGTCAGAAGTTGCCTTATAATTATGTTCGCATACAACCCATAATATTGCGTCATATCTTTATATATCAGTTACTTGTTAGACGTCAAATGCACGCCCTATTGAGTACGTAGCTTTCCCCTGTTTGTTATATATCTATTTACCGAATTCTTTTGATAGACAGGTAAACTACGGAGGGACTTTCCTCTTACTTTGAACGTTACAATAATAGTACCTACTGGAAAAATATTTGTATTAGTAAATGTTTTATGTATTTTAATGCAACCTTTGTAGCAACTTCCTTGGACCTTGTACATTAACCTCCTCGGGTTATTCAACAATACAATATAGATATATTTATTTTACTGATTTGATTTAAGAGATCAATCGCATCGACTTGCAGACTGACTACTGCGCAATGTGTCACGTGTGCTTTCTTCACGGATCAACTAATTGTGTGATCTATGAATTTTAATTTCGGATTTCAGTGTTTGAAATATGTACTTAATAGTTGAATTACTATAAAAATTTAAAACTACAGCGCGTAGTATTTCAATATTTTTTTCTCACAGATTGCGACTGGTTATACCAAGACGTATCGTGTCGGGGTTCAGGGACCTGTGTTCTGGCCAGTCCAGGGTACCCTGGTCTCTACCCACCACACCGAAGATGTCGCTACCTCTTCGCCACAAACTCCGTTCACACACGCGTCAAGATTATTTTCACTTCTATTTTGCTACCAAGAAAGTAAGTATGAATTACTTATAAATTCAAATGTGTCAATGATATACAGAATAAGTTGAATAGTTTAAGGAACAAGGAACTAAGCTCAGCTTTAAACTATCGACTCTATTTACATAGGCAAACGGCCCACATTATTATGTAAACATGCAAATGAATATGAAAGCAAGAATCCCATACGAAGTTGGCTGAGGCGCAAATCTGTATGTAAGCGTGTTTTTCTCACACGGGATGGAAGTAGATAAACTTTATTTATATAATAAAAGCCATTATGCCTGTCCTCGGTCAACATACTTAGCTAAAGTGCTGGTTACGTGAACCAACCGCTAATACATTTCGAGGTCAAGTCACCAAAGTTCACGAAACTTGACAACGAACTTACCTTGCCGCAATACTAATCATGCGACGTTTCCGTCTCACGATTGAACTGGAAACTTTTCCAGAAGTACTTATTTAAATTTATGAGGTATAACAAATGCGGATGGTTCACAAAGAAGGCGCCATATTGAGGTTCCCTTGAAAAGGGTTTCGAAGGGATACCGCGTTGCCTAAATTGAAAAGAGCTGTTGATAAGTCAGGGATACCCATGAGGGTAGATGGATCACATATTCTACCAAATAATATTACATATATTATATTATTCATAATGATAAATGTATGTTAACATGTTTGGAACTTTTCAAAGGATTTCACTCGTTATTTTAAAGAGAGGACCAGTCTATTATGGTATCTTCCAGATGGTATTCAATATTGTGAGGAATATTTGGATCTTTTTATCAAAGTTGTGAATAATGTTATTGACGTTTTCATTAGATAATTAATGGTGCGGGTGTGTCACTATTGAAATTCCTTATACTTATATTGCTTTAGAGAGAATGTAGCACAACATTAAACATGGAAGAGAGATATAAAGAAGTAATTTAAGGGGACAAAGAATTAGCACAATTAATGTGTTTTAAGTGAACATTAAGTTTAATGGGCACGTCAGTCAGAAGTCTTATTTACGTTATCTTATTCTGTTAGTAATTGAGTGACGAACGTAGACGACTTTTTTCCTTTTACTTGTTTATGCGCTGTTTATAAGGAATCAAGCGTCGTTTTCTTTTAAAATGTTTTACGTAAATAAGGAAGTTTATATTTAATTCAAGTACTTAGTTTGTTTTTTATTTTATGTTCCTTGGTGTTGGCAACTTGTTATTTTCTCGCCAAATAAATTTCTTTTACTATTTTTCCCCATCAAACGTCATACACTCGATTTTCCGTCATCTGAATCCCCCATACAATAAATAACTATTTCCATTAAATGTCTGTGTTAAAATATTTACTACAACTTGCATTTTAGGTTATTCTTACGAAGTAAAATAAAATAATGGACATAGTAAAGAATTGCTAAGGTACTGTAATACCGTTTCTTTCTTAGTCAGTTAAGAGTACATTTTTTATTTATCATTAGGTTTATCTATTCGCTATAAGATATTGACTGTCCATGGACTGTATAAGCCTAACTTAACCATCACAATACCCGAGTTGTTACTCGGGTATTGTGATGAGTATGTTTACTCACGAGCTCCGTAAAAACATCATTTAGTATGCAGATCGCTTAACTTTATATTGTAATTACACACACAAAATTATTACATTATTACACGAATCGTCAACTTGAAAGATTATCTTTTATTGTGCTTAATTCACTCTAATACATGATGATTTTAGTTCTATAGTAGATGGTAGATTACCATTTTTACCAAAATAAATACTCAAATGGAGTGTATTTTGTCTGAGAGTGAACTGTAGTATTGAATAAATTGTGCTTAAATCACTACAATACCATAAAAAAATCTAAGCAGATCTGTTCACAACAGTTATTAATACTTCACAACTAAGTACTTACGTACAAAACTTGAACACATTACAATAAAATTACTTGTGTATTACGACTGTTCACTTTACACTTATGTCATCAGTATCATGAAGTGTCATCAAGTGATATTGAAAACGAGCACCTCACTGTAAATCAGTCAACAGTGCGACGAACACAGTGGCCTGGTCGGGACCATTTCCTATAATTATGCAGTTAATGCTTTCACAGTAGATAATAAAAGGGAAACCGTATTATTTGGAATTAATCGTGGTATTGAGATATGTGTGGTATGAGTTGAGAGAAAGAGAGAGAGAGAGAAAGAGATAAATTCAAATTTTTATTACATTTTATCATGTGTACAATAAGTGTTACATAAGGGTCCAGTTTCAACATGAAACCCGGTTAGGGCACGGCTACATATAAAACAAAATATAATCTTATTAATTCACTTATAATATTATCACATAAAAAGAAAGTTATTATATTAATTCATTCTAAGATAAAGATTATTTTGCTAAATAAGATTTGAGGACATTATATTCCGGGAACAGAAAGAAATAAGTACCAAATCTTCTAAATTACTATTTATTATAAGAATTAGAAAGATTTATAATCTTTTAACAATATCTCTCTTAAAATAGGTGAATAATAGTTTAGAATAGCTTAATGTGCTGAGCTACGCTAGCTAATTATTGAAGCAAACTAGATACCCAATGTTAGCGTGCTAAAACAAACATTCGCTATGAAAACTTCCTTATCTAATAGTGCTGCGACCTAAAAGTTGAAGAACTAACAGTAGTGACCTCGTTTACTGTCAGTACCCAGTAGCTATTGTAACTCAGTCCGTATTGAAGCTTCACATAATTAGGGCAGCGCTTCACCAAGATTATTCAAAAGGTAATATAGGACTTAGCAACCTTTGTCAGAGATATAGCCGAGTTGCGTCAAAGTCAAGTCAAAGCAATTATCTCAATTAGACCGTTATTGTAAGATCTTTAGAGTCGTCAAGAAGTTTAAATGTTATCTGTATTTTGTGAAAAAAGTTGGGAGTGTCTATAAAAAGAAGAGAGGTCGTTACTCTGTGATTAGTCCTGTATTTGAATGTAATTAGTGTTCTTTAGTGGCACTTTCTCGTCTTTAGTGTTAGTTAAAATTACGAACACAATGTCGTTGTGATTGGCCTCTAAATTATAAAAGTACTTGAGTAATTGTAATGTTCGACTTGAAAAACTGAATATGAATAATTTTGCCTTGAAAAGTATTAGAAAAAGTAATTGAACTTTTAAACAAAAGCTAGTAAGAAGTGTGTAATGAATCACTTAAAGTCTCTGCATGCCTTTTATCCCCGAAGGGGTAGGCAGTAGGCAGCAGGCACCCACTTTTCACTATTTTTGTTATGAGTCCCATGTAATAGGGGGGAGTCTATTGCCATGCACCGGGCACAATTCCAGACTCTGTACTATTACTGGGATGTTTTTAAAAACCCAGTAATACATTGTCCGACCCGGGAATCGAACCCTCGCTCGGCCAACAAAGCAGTCTCAGTAAAGCTCTCTACATATCTCCGTATGTAAAATTGAAAACAATTTAATATATGTTTTACAGTTTATTTAGGTACCTACTTCTTAGAAAAACAACTGAATATTATGATATGACTTAAAACAGACATTAGCTACGTCATAAGCGGCTGGGGTTATTAGCCTATAAATTATTACTGTTGTAAAAACTGGAGCAAATTACACATTAAGTAGGCCAGTACCATTACCGGATCAATAGTCATTTTTGCAAACAAACCATTCCTTACGTGAAGGTAGACCTTTTGATAACTTCACGTAAGTTTATTTATCATTTATCTTTGTTTTCTTTGCATTAATGAGTGATTTAAGGGTATTACCAAACAAGTCTTCCCAATCCCCGAAACCCCAAAAATCCTCAAATTCCTAATCCTCATCCCCACAAGGCCTTGCACACGTAACGTACTTGTAACACCTCTGGTCTTTCGGGTGCCTATGTGCGGTGTCGCTTGTTTACCATCAGGTGATTCGATAGCTCGTTTGATGATTATTCCATAAAAAATCGACTCACTATTGCATTTAAAATCAAGTCCAGATTTGTTTCAATAATAAATTGTCCGTTTTATGGACCACGGCATCACAATCTATACGACTAATGAAGTGGTTTCCGTCACAAATGACGACAAAGGCTATGTCCCTAGTGTTCTCCAGTATTTTTATCAGCCCGTATGAAATCCACACGTTTTTGAAAGCCAACGAACAATCGTTCCAGTAAATAAAAGGATCGCCATCACCCTTCCATATCTCCATTCCACCCGTGTGGGCTTGCCAACGATTTTCACTAAATGTTTTTCTGTATGTGTGAAACGAATTTTCGATGATTCAATCTCAATTTAAATAAATAATCCAATTACGTACGTATCAATTGTTCTCATTTATTTGTTTTTAGGTTTTATTAATTTAAATTTACGTGTTTATGATGAATTGTGTGACGTATTTGTGTTTATTTTAATAACCATGCAAGAGAGTCTATAATCATGTCTCTAGCTATTAGACAGGACTCTTAAGTAGAATAGAAGTAGATATAGTCCTATAGACAGAAGAGGCCACAAAAATGTATGTGCCCTCTCAAGAGACCTAGGTTATATTGTATGGAACACGCTTAAGTATAAAAAATCTAGTTGTAGTCTCAGCTGTTCAAACTGTCTGTTGTCTGTCAGTAAATAATTAAAGGTCTCACTTTATGAAATAGTCAATCATTTTACCTTTCTCTATAAAAAAGTATCTAAGTATCTATATAATAGCGAAATTTAATTTTATCCTAAAACCTTGAGTAAACATTTAATAATTTATTTTGCTGTTACTTTGGAAGTGAATAATTTATAATCTACTTTATACAATTTTATCTAGACATTCCAATTATTAAGATAAAAGCCTTTTTAATGTTTAATCTTTACGATCTTAATTGGTCAAAGTTTCCAGAAAAAGGCTACAGTATTCTGGTTTTAGAAACGTTAATTCCAATTTAGTTTAGTGGAGTAATAACATTAATGTTCGTTGTTTATAACACTTGCTTGCTGGGCCTAAATTAACGACGACATATGCATAATTATGTAAATATTATAGCTTTATTTAAGGGTCCGCTACTTGTATTAAAACGGCATTAAATTAGGAGTTTCAGTACAAAACATAAACTTGATTAGCATGCGTAGCGAACTCGGCTTAGGGGTAATTGCTATATCCTTGCGCCGTGTAATGCGATCTCAGCCGTCTTTAATCTCACCCACTTGACTATCTCCGTAATAACATTTCGCACACTTACACAATATGTTTGTCATTACTTACTTTCACACACAATTATTTGCAAAACATTTAACCCATATTAAAATACACCGTTCGTGCTTCCTCTCTGTTATTGAAATATAAATATTTTGCTATCAAATAGATGGGAATTTCACTGAAAGAATTTACTAGAAATTCTAAATTTTATATCAACGACGCGGTGCCTTGTATTTTAAAATTCTCGGTACTTTTTTGAAATATTTCAATTTGATTCCGAGAAGTATAGATAGGTTTTAGATTGATTTTAACTGTTGAACTTTATATTAACGGCTTTTAGGGATATTTGACATAGTTTTAAAGAAAAATTTTTAACATAAAATTATGTGTAAATCTGGAAGGCTGCTCTTATAAAATAATATTAGCTTTCTTACTACCCAGGTAATAAATCAGTATTTTAAAAGAAAAATAATTAGTTTATTCAAACAACAGAACAGATAGATGGAACACAAATATGCTCCGACACCAATAACTGCTAAAAGAATAAGACGAAGTACTATCAAAAGTACATCTGCACATAAAAGTAATTTACCAATTCAACAACACTTTCCTAAGATAGATACGGGCTTAGGTTCACATATTTTAGTCCTACTAACCCCAAGTTCTATAAATCGAGCCAGAGTGCGCTAGAGAAATAAAAGTACTATCTTTGTGCAATACGTTTTCCAACATACTGTGTATGTACTATGTTCACACGAAGCGTAGCACTTTAGCCATCAGATTTAACGCAAACACACTCGCTATAAAGTTAGCAAAGAAAAGCTACACTTTATGATGTCTATCAAATCTATTTGTTGTGATATACACTAAGTGAGATCTGCTTTTTGAGATTGTGTAATGTGATATTGAACTGTTTTTAAGTAAATTTTAATATCTAATTAGTCGCAATGATTGCTAATTGCTAATCGCTTCCCATCAGGCGATCCAGCTGCTAGATTGCGCGATATTCCACAAAATGCTAGTATTTCCTGGTAGATTCTAGTAATCGGAGCGCAAAAGATACATTACCGAGTTACAACTTAGTTTACGTATTAAAAAAAAAGTGTATAGTGAACGAAAAGTGGTTTGATTTTTAGCTACATACTCCTTAAAAAAAAAACAAAATGAAGTCGATTAATAAACGGTACGGTACACAGTTATGCTAACGTAAAAATGTTATCTAAATATTATTTTATTTCAACTCGCCCAACTGTTACTGTAGAATCAAATATTTTTGCCGATTGTGAAGTACCTACGCGAGAAAGACGCCGTCAAATATGCTTGAACGAATTTTTCTCGTGTGCAAAATTCTTTTTAAGATTCTTATCTTACGCATTGTATGGAATTGTTATTATTAGGTATGAATCGGTGTATAATTTCCGTTGCAAACCAAATGACGGATCGTTTTCGATCGATTTTTTGATACATTGATGACATCATCTACCATACATGGGAAGAATAGATAGATACACGTCAAGTTATACTATGCTATAACTAGAGGTATAAAATGTGTTTAATCAGTCCTGAACTTTATTGTTGTGTATTTAAGTGCCAAACCAAAATAGAAAAATGAGTGTGTATCCTAATGTGAATTCGAAAAGGAAAGGTAAAGTAAATAAACCTTGGTCCTTACAAATACGATTTCTAGTTTTGGTACAAAGGTCAGATGGGAAAACAGTTTTCCTTATAGCATTTTTCTTGCCCACTTTGGAGGATATCGGGTTACTTAAGTGAGTCGAGCATTATAACCGATGTAGGAAATGGTGCTCATTACCACGCGCGTGAGGCTATCTCCATGCATGATACAGCTAGTGTAGCTACCTACATACATGACTATGCTTTAACAATATTGAGTGTTTGTAGTGATTAAAGTAATTTATGGAAAAGCTATGCCCATTATCAGTCCACGATTTAATAAAGCTATAATATTATTTAGGTAAAAATTATGAATGCACTCATTTAGTAATAGAGCTAGCTACTCAAACTGGTTGTTGAATTTCAAAAGTATGTCGATTTTCGATAATCCTATTCATAGTATGATTAAACTATCTTTTGTACTGAGACTTATAAGACAAGCCATGACAAAGGCACTTAAGTCAAGTAAAATGTGTCATTAATAAATTTAATTCATATGAATTTAAGTGATAAAAAGGAATGCAATAAAATCTCTGTATGTACTCGTATGTAAGTCACATCTAGCAATCCTATTAGTTCTGTGAGCAGCTCTTATCATTTCGTATCAGCGTCTACAGAGCCACGCTCCTTAAGCGTATGTTACACTAGTACGTTGCACTATTTTCTCGACACATTATCTTGGCTAATAGAACCTAATACATTTTGTAGAATTATGGTCACTTTAACGTATAAACCTTTAATGAATAGCGATCTAGAAGTTAGTAAGGAGGTTATATAAAGACAATTCGGTACTATGACGAGATTATTTTAAATTCTCTTACAAAGATTTTAAGTGTGGGAGAGCCATGCATCGGCACGAATGGGCCGGCTCGACCGGAGTGATACCACGGCCTCACAGACGTGAAACAACGCTTGCGTTGTGTTTCATCGTGTGAGTGAGGTTACCGGAGGCCCTATTACCCCCTTCCCTAATCTCTCCAATCCCTGATTCCAAGATTTCTCAAATGTCTAATCCCCAAAAGGCTTTGGTGTTCCAAGGGTCTATGTGTGACGTCGATTGCTTATCATCAAGTGATCCTCGTCTGCTCGTTTATCGGCATAACCCATAAAAAAGATGCAACCAAGATTATCCAGTCTTATAAATCAACGCTATTTGTATGTAATCGTGAATCGAGTATAAACTAACTTTAATCTAATCTTATTAAGTTATCAATTACGAAACAATAATAAATGGTTTTATGAAAAAACGAATTTAATAATACCTCATATTCAAAAGATATAAATCTCATGATCTCTCAGTTTAACCTCATTCCAAGAAAACGTGGCCTAGAATAATAAACTATACACTCTACAGCCCCCATTTTATATAAAAACAAAGCCGGTATTACAGAAACCACATTCTACTGAAAATACGCGGAAATAAGTCCGAAATCCGTATACAGAATCTTCGTAAGTGAGCCCGTATAATCCTTTCAGGAGCTATCCAGTGAACAATATAGTTATACAGTTGAATAATATAGTTATACTGTTGAATAATATTGTTATACAATAAGATAATAATATTTTTACATTCATACAATACTGTTTACACAGTCACTGCACGACGGATTATCTGACATTGCGCGCGGGCAGCTCGCCCTCTGCATCTCTACTTGGTACTCTCTGCTCCGAGCGCACAGCGACACTCGAGCATCCTGGACCAAATCTCTTGCTGGAATTCAAGTAAGTGCTTTAACAAAGACTTTTACAATATGAAGTAGCTTTGAAATTTAGTTTTTACAGTTTATGACGTAACGACCTCTCACTCTTAAACTTAACGCCATTTTATCAAAGTATTGTAATTTTCTCGAGAAATAAAAAAATACGTGTCTAATACGTTTTCATTACCTAACCGACGGATTGATTACATTTTTAATCGCCATATCCTGGCAACTACCCTATTATACACTATTTGTATAAAACTAGAGATCAAAAGATCAATATCTTTATTTATCTTATTCTATTTTCACTTCAAACCGAATTTTATTGGTACAATTATCAAAAGATGTTTTATTTATAGCTCAAAGAGGGACCTAAGTCCTAATTCGTTTCTCGTTAGAGAGCTTCGACAGCCACGATTGAATTAAACCTTATGTAAGTGGCGAAACACGCGACACTGAGTTATTGAAAGGCATTGAGACACATAAATCTAAGGAGCAAGCACCACTTTGTATTAGCTTGTTCTAAAGTAAATTCAAGTGCTTTAGAAATTGAGTTCAATGTTATACTTCTGTTTACTGTTTGTATAACGTAATGTAATGTTCATATTAAAACTTTCGTGAGACACACTACACATAACATAACATCATGCTTTTTATCCCCAAAGGGGTAAGAGGAGGTGCTCTTTATGACACTTAATGCCACTGTATAACACCCACTTTTCACTACTTATGTTATGAGTCCCATGTAATAGGGGGTGAGCCTATTGACTTTCGTGAGACATACTAGATTAATTATTATGTTTTCGACTTACTCACGTAACTGTTTGACGAGGAACTCTACTAGTTTCAAGCCGTGCTAGAGGCTCATACTTATTAGCAGCATTACGCGACCCGCGACGCGGGGACTGTCGTGCTGCTACTGCCGCGTAACTTGAATAAGCCTAAAAACATAATAATTAGAGTAATGTAATGTGTTAGGTGTTATTTCTTTAAAAGGATAGGTGTGTTTTATACTTCACTATTTTGTATTGTAACCTCCAAGTTTGTTCTTAGCATACTAGCCAGTTGCTACCAATTGACCAATTTCAGTTTTAATTAAGTATTATTCAGTACATATTTGATTGTTACGTTGTCGTATTTAGTAAACTAATATTAGTGTCGAAGTGTAACGTGTTACGTATCGATGCCGACACATGTACCTACATCGTGATTAGCAGAAATATAACTAACGCACTTTATTGCGACATGTTAGTTAGTAATATTATTATGATCATAATGTTTAATGAGTTTGCACTCTTAACACGTTTTGATTCAGCTGATGCGTTATTTTATAGTACTTTTGTCTTTAGTTTTTGTTGTTTGTTCTATTATCATACATTAGTTTTAGTTCTACATTCATAGACTATTAGTTACGAACAAACAATACAATAAAAACTAAATCTTTACCTACAAACTAACCGTAAAACATTCTAATCGTATATACATACGTATACTTACGAAGAATTCATTCTACATACGAAAGCGGTTCTCTAACATGACGATACCTGTGTTCAGTTCCGGGCCATTAGTACCGCCGTACGACTACAATGGATTTATAGCCAAGCTGGAGTTTATTGAGAGGATCGACAGCAGTGGAGCTCCGCCCACTGTGGTGCCGGCCTCGCCGCCCTTAGCTGCGCTTACTCATCACATACAGCACGGTAAGTTATAGTAAAATAGTAAGTAAAATAAAAGAGATGTTATGTTATCAGATCACTTAAACAAGTTACTTTATAATGTAAGCATAATTACGAAGAGAGATCAAGTTCAGAGGTGTTAATAGAATAATGAGTTCTAGATAGAAACAGATTGATTATAATGATTATGATATAAGAAAATTATAATGTTCAATGTATATAATTATGTTTAGTATACCTCTATGCCACCGAGGGAAGTGTAAACTATCGTTTTCTTTTCTTCTCCTCTATTAATATCGTCTGATTTATTTCGTTGCGGAATCCAAGATAGTTATTCATGTCCATGAGACGCGCCGGACTTCAGTGTTCCGGTGTTTTCATGGTTGTATAGACTGTAGATGGCTTATAGAGTTGCAGCGGTTTTGGAAGGTAGTGATGGGCTTGTCCCATTAAAAAAATACCCCTATGCCAATAAATGAAACCACAAAATGAAAATGTGCAGCTATAATAGACATAGTATGTAAATTAAAACCTTTTCAGTTTTTACCTAGCGCAGTAATAACAGAGCTTTCTCTACTACATTTTCATAATAAATAATTATGAAAAGTCCCTCAGGGTACAACAGTGGGCAAACTGACGCTTACACTTTTATAAAAACTAATCCGTTTAAAAATTCTACAATAATAAACTTTATAATAATAAGCTCTCTGTGAAATAACATGAATAATAGATTGCATCTCCGGTCCGTAAATTCCGTCTGAAATAAAGAGCTATTAATAATAAACGGAATTGTAAGAGTGAATTAAAAAAAAATGCATTTGTGGTTCATTGTAAAGCCGCAATAAGCTATTTCCATTCGCTGGCCCCAACAGTGCTTTGCTACGTTGTTAATTTCAATGAGAAGTCGCATTTTTATTTTAATCCTATCACTGCAGTTATGAGAGAATATAGGATATTTAATCATTTTTACCCGACTGCCAAAGAAGGAGGGTAATGTTTTTCGAGTGTATGTAAGTATGTATGTATGTCTTTTCCTTTGTGACCACCTGTAGCCTAAACGGCTTGATGGATTTTGATGTATGAGGTATCGTTAGATTTGTCTTGATTACGGGAGTGTCATAGGATACATTTTATCCTAAAAGTCCCACGGGATAAAGACATAATAATATTTTTTCTAAATTTCCCTTTAAAAAAATATGTATGCGGTATCATTAGATTCATTTCAATCACGGGAGTAATTAATATAGGATACGTTTTTTCTCAAAATTCCCACGGGAACATGTTAATTCTGCGTCAACGCAAAGCAACTCATGCGTTAGCAAGCAAAAAGATAGGGCGTGGCCTGGCATGCGGCGCGCGGCGCGGTGCGGAGGGGGATATGCTCGAGTATACAGCCCGATTGCGGGCACACGCATGAGGGCACACGTCGTTGACGGTCGTCTCTAAATAGCGATTTTTTCGATATATCCCTATTTGTATATATCGAAATAAAAACAGCTAAAAAGTTATAAATAAAAAAATTATTATTAAAAAAACAAAATACCCGACTGCACACTAAAAAAAGAGTAAAACAAGCCCCACAATAATATTGATCAATCAAATGCTAAAAACTAATTATGTAATACCGTTTAAACAATACCTATATTAAAATACACTACAATATGTGTTCGTAATCGATAGTTAAATAAACAGAAACTTATTTTGAATACAAATTTACTGAATATAATTTATAAATGTTGATGGAAAGCATCGCAGGCGGGGACCACCTTGACCGCCACCAACGAAAATTCTGCTAAATGGTGCACAACCGAAATGACTATAAATAAGCCTCTGTTGGTCCCCGCCTGCGATGCTTTCCATCAACATTTATAAATTATATTCAGTAAATTTGTATTCAAAATAAGTTTCTGTTTATTTAACTATCGATTACGAACACATATTGTAGTGTATTTTAATATAGGTATTGTTTAAACGGTATTACATAATTAGTTTTTAGCATTTGATTGATCAATATTATTGTGGGGCTTGTTTTACTCTTTTTTTAGTGTGCAGTCGGGTATTTTGTTTTTTTAATAATAATTTTTTTATAGATTTATGTTTGAAACTGATTTTTTGAGTAACAATTGCTGACCGGGCAACTGGCTGCCGCGCAGCGTGTCGCGGGTTCGATTTCCGCACGGAGCAACTCTTTGAGTGATCCACAAATAGTTGTTTCGGGTCTGAGTATCATGTATATGGGAAATTGCATGTTTTAACCGCACCCAAGACATAGGAGAAAATCCTAGTGTGTGACAATGCTTTAAAAAATAATCAACAATTGTATAATAGAATTATTCTTTAATTTTCCTTCCCCTAGCGGATAGAATACCAGTAGATAGTAGTGGAATGACAAATGAATTGAGTGGGGGAAGCAACGCGAGGGTGGGATGCGGCGCCACGATCCGGGGCTACGGGCCGGGCGGCGCCAGGTCCGGCCATTTCGACTCCCGGGCCGGACCGTGGCGCTCCCAGTGTGTCATACATCTACTTGGAGCGCCCACCGACGTCGTCCAAGTATCACTATTTAATTATAATTTAAGGTAAGTACCTACCCAAAATAGAATTATACTAAAATTAAGTTCTATTGCGAACTGCTTCAGAGGTCAATGATGTTTATGAAAAATGGATTGATGATTATGGCAAGAATAAAGTTGGTCTAGCTATTTCGTCACGAGCAGTACTGTAGCATCACGCTGTATTCGTCGCACATAATTACAGGACACACTGTCACAAGTAAAGGCGTTTCAATGATCGCGGTGTCTTCCTCCTATAAATTTAATAGAGCGGAAGGAATTTCTATGAGTTGAGATTAGAAACCATATATTTTGTAAATGTATTGCGACCTTCCCTCATAGTGACAGGGCACTCGTTAAGGGACTCGAAATAACGGAATTTCATGCGCGCATTCACATGCCACCTTAATTAAATTAAAACCTTATACGTTACAAGAACGAGGCAGTGACTGGTTAAAATGTTAAACAAAGGTATATTTAGTTCCGAACTTTATTCATGTTTAACGGTTCACCGATTTAGACTGAAATTCCGCTGTAGTTACCTAACCGGATTCTAGCTAGAAGCGAGTTTACAACGCCGTAGTAAGAATGCTGACTATATACTATAAATATGACTATTTTCTTTTCAATATTAATAATTTGATCAGTAGCATATTATCTAATTTGTGATTGTGACATTCTTGGAATGATTTTGCGATTTGTTTACAAAGTCCAAGAATAGATTTTTCTTCAAAACAAGAGAACGTCGCGACGACATCTTGAGCCTCGGCTCTGTTGTAACTGACTGTTTTCCCGCCTACTCCCCGGGGTGCAATTGATTGATAGACCCGTCCTTAGAAATCATAAATTTATTATTCGAGAATTTAATTTCGGATGTTCAATAAATGTTTTTGCTGAGGGTTTTCCTTGTCTGTGTTTCTTACGTAAACGCTTCTAATGAGGATTCCTTCTTCTCTTGTTTGTTTGACAGAACATAATTATGTCCGCTGGCGTGTAGATACTTATATTACGCTACAGTGATAGCATATTGCCGCTTTTATAATTATTAAGGTAAATAATTTTGTTGTATCAGGTTACAAAGCTGTCGATCTCATATTGAGATTTTAGAGGGTCTTCACGAATTCGGTGGAAGAGGAGAAAGAGATAGATCCGAGCGTGGGGATCGAGCTCTTCTCAGGGTATGTGGACCAGTCGTGAGGGAGGCCAGGGATCCCGCCGGCCGGTTCCTAATACGTCAGGCAGTGACGTCTAAAGGTGCTAACTTAACAATCCTGGTGCGAAGAGCGACTTCACAATCTCAGGATGAAGAAGAATTTGTTGACGGGGCCTTTGCTTTTCATGATGGTGAGTAAACAAAGTAACCAGATACAACTAGAGCGTTAGAAGGAAAATATGAAAAGAAAAAATATTTATTTTCGCTTTCACAACAAGACATAAACAATGATATTTGATGACTTATGGAAAGTGAAAAAGAAAGGGACCAGACAAAATAATATTCAAAGGCTAAATCCTACTGGTGCTTACTAAGGGTAATGTGAATGTTTATGTGAAGTGTCTTCTGTGTTATGTATGTGTGACGTACACATGACTGGTGAGAGGAAAAATACATGACAAATATATTACTCACTATTCTCGCGTACATGAATAAAATTATGTAATTGCAAGCGATTTGTTGCGTTTTCTCAAAAAGTTATTTGTTTTTATTGTGTATTTCTTGGCGATTTCCCAACTGGGTTAGGTTTGACACAGGATCTTCGGTATTTTTCATAGAGTAACTACTATCCAGTTTTCACATACAAGAAATAAAAAAGATATAGATTAATTCCCGATTTATAATAAAACAGACTCAAACATTTTTTCATACGTGTTAGCTATTATGAGTGACGTGTATTAGAATGTAATAACAAGCTGCCTTCCTCAATAGACTTCATACAAATTTCTTTTATTATTTGGTACAGAGCAACATGAAGGAACTGCATCTCCGGATGCGACATGTGCAGCCACACACTATGGGCTTTCATCACCAGCTCATGGCGGAGTTTCCGCACCTTCACATCATCACATTTTCTGGAACATAGAAGAACGACTCCTCTGTACACATAGGTTCATACCGGCTGCCAATCAGAGCGTTACCATTGAGGTAAGTTGACACCGTATATTTTCCATTATAATTTATGATTGAAATTGGAATATGATATGTAGTATGTGTTACAAGGCAAAGTAATAGAGGTTCAACTAAATGAAATATAAATAAAATTTTCTGAAGCTTGGTAAAAAGTTCTTTATGGATGAAATATAAATAGAAATAACAGTTTTTTCTCTGTGGGACAAATACACGAAATTCCTCTCTTATAAAAAAAATGTAGAACTTATTTGTGAGCGAACGCTCTCCACCGACTTGTGGTTAGGCATTTTAGTATTATTTCAAAGTACATACAACTTTACTATTTTTTACTAGTTCCACTATAATGCTAACAATGCTTTTGTTACGTTAGCTGCTAATTTGTTTCTGCAATGAGATGTGACTTTTGTAGCGATGTTTTCTCCTCTGTCCTTGCTTTGTGGTGTTGACATTTCCTTTTAAATGCAAACGTTATTGTTCCATTTGTCCCATTCTATTAAAATAAATTGGTCTCTCTTAACATTGCCAGGGTTGCGAAATAAAAAGGAAATTCATGAAAACAATATCTAATAGTTCTTTTTTAAAGGAATTGAAATAAAGTTTTAGGTAATTTGACAGGTATTTTTTTATTATTTTGCTAATTTTATTGTGGATGATATTGTCCATGTTTATATGTTTTACTCAAATACAGCTTGCATTTATTTATTTACATAACATAACATCACGCCTTTTATCCCCGAAGGGGTAGGCAGAGGTGCACATAGAAGTAACACCCACTTTTCACTATTTATGTTATGAGTCCCATGTAATAGGGGGTGAGCCTATTGCCATATACCGGGCACATTTCCAGACTCCGTGCTACTACTGAGATTTTTAAAAAACCCAGTAATACTTTGCCCGACCCGGGAATCGAACCCGAGACCCCTTGCCCGGCAGTCGCACTTGCGACAACTCGGCTAACGAGGCAGTCCTCGAGCATTTATACGAGCATTTATTTATTTGTTTTGTTATTTTTTGACACTTTATTAACCTTCCAGAAAAATCAGAAACTGTGTCTTAGATATTTCTTTAAAAGTTTTTTTTGGATGTTCACTTACTGGTAGTACTATAGTTGTGTTTTTCTTAGATTCAACGTCTGGAGCGTATGTGGAGTGCAGAGCCGACGGGCACGGCAGGTGCTGGGGGGTGTCGCACGGCGTGCGGTGACGCCGGCTGCGAGTGTCGGTCTAACACTCCACTCTACTACCACGACCATGTTGCCCTGGTAGCTGGCGACGGCACACATCTATCTTGCCTCTGTGGAGACTTCCAGGTTACATTCATTTTCATATTAAAAATTAGAATTAAAATCTCATGGCCACAACACAAAAAATCACATAAAAAGTTGTAATCGGTCACGGCTCATCCATAAGTATTCCAATTTTCCAGATGAAGAATACTAAAAATACTTGAAATACTCAACTCAATACCTGTCCCACTTGGAATACAAGATGAGGTGATTTAAAACAAGAACCTATAACTTTATGACGTAGCGCCCCTTATTTGCAATTCAAAAAATAACAGTGCTCGACGTGACAGTCATTGGAATTGACGTTCATTACAGCTATCTGAGCGAATGAAATATTCGGAACCATCGACAAGAAAATTGACGTTAATTGCTTGAAATATTAAGGGAAACATTGGGGGTAATCGACAACGAAAATCAAGGGACCGATACATAATACAGAGTAATGTTGTTACCCAACAAACGTGACATTTTTGTGAACACTTTTATATTTCAATTTTAAGTAGAATAAACATGGGATCTCAAGCAAACAGCAGCCAAAATGCATGATCTAATTATTGCGAGCTCTGAATATACGACAACAAATAAATTAATCGTGTTAGTGGAGCCTTATGCTAACACGGGCGAGGACAAGCAACCCTTCCGCCGCGACGCCGCGCGCTCCCGCCTCCGCACCCGCGCCCGCGCCCGGCTGTGGTGCGAGCCGCATAATTAAGTAAGAGGGTTACTATTAAGTATGTAACAGCAATAAAGCGTAGAACGACCACCCGAGCGTGTAGGCCCTCCTACACAACGTTTAATAATGTAGTTGCCATGTTTACAACTCTTTCATCACAGGTAAACAAGCTTTTTTTCAAGATGACCTCAGATATTTGTTTAAGTCCTATCTATTCATCGAAATTAAGATAAGCAAATCCTAAACAATAAATAGACGCCGTTTTGTTTGTCAATAAGCAAAAATGAATGTTGCGTAAACAGAATTGAAGCAATCAAATATTGTGTCAAGTAATATTTATTCAAAACAGATTGTTTTAGCAATATACGAATGGAAATTGTTTAGATGGTATCGCGTATTGTTATTTAACGAAGTAAGGTGGTTTGTTTCCGGTGTATTTATGTTCAATTTATATTGATGTGTTTACATTGGAGCGAGCGGTAACAAAACGAAGAGATATAATCTGATGCTTTGTTACTTTACATCACGAATCGCGCGCTTAATTTAATTATTAACAGTGCTTTACCCCTGTCGTGGCTTGACGCCATCCGCGCCAAATTGTTACGACCTCACATTGTTCCAAAATGGACTCTGGGCCGTATCTAACCGGGTGGCGGCGCGGCCGTCCATGTCCCGGTACTCATAAAACATGGGCTAACTGGCGGCATGTCATCCGTCCGCCCCTGTTATTAGTGGCCAGCCGACGACGCGGCTCGGGGCGACAGCTCAGAGACTCGCCCCTGAAAATTCAATTACTTAGTAGCGGCCTACGTATGGCTATTGCGTAGGGTTGGCGTACATCGCTGCACGCTCAATTTGTCAATATGCTGTACACGTACGTACGTACGGTTATGATAACCGAGAGTATCGGATTCGAAACCAGCTTTTACGTTCTTGTCGCCGATAAAAATAAATAAATACACTCTGAAGGGTTACGAGTGAATATTATGTAAGTGTTTATCACAAAAAGTAATGTTTTACTATTTGTATTTAATTTTGTATATGATTTTAGTTTTCCTCAGTGTAGCTTTAGCGGTTAACATACATTTTAATTTATAGAGATAATTGTTGTTTGTCACAGGCGGCGTGGTTACCGGTCGTGGTGCGGAGTTGGACGAGTGTTCGGTTGGAGTATTCCGTGGCACATTACACATATGCAAGCCGCGGTTTTGATTACGCGGCCGCATATAGTTTCAACGATGATGCCATGTGCGGTCAACGCACGTACACCACTCACTCTGGTAAGCGTTGTGTCATCATGCATCTACCCTGGAAACAATATGGTTATTAGGGACATTAAGAAAATTGACTTTGCTATAATTCGACAGAGATATCACAACCAAGGGGCAAATAATCGGCAATTTATCCCCAATGAACTCCATAGACCCCCAATCACATAAAGCGAAAACAAACAGTTCTATTTGACATTCGAAGCGCGTCTCAGACGTTTGGAAAAACGCGTCGAATATTGTTCTCGGTGGCGCGGCGGGGCGCGTCCGAGAAAATTACGTGCCACGACCCAGTTTCACGCCGCCTAGGGTAACACTGAATCGGAAAAACCTTGAACAAGATCGTAAAGTTCCAATTACAACGTCGCTATTGCGGCGACTCGTCGTGCTGCCTTAACGTCGCATTATTGCCCACGTAGGTAGATGTTTCACTGTCGCCTTTTCAATTTATTATTTTTTCTGAAGGACTTAATTTTTTCCACTGTAGGTGAAATATCGTCCAGGAACGTGTCGGTTACGGGTAGTCTGAACGAGTTTTTCTATCAACAATGCACTTGGGTATTAGACTCCAACGTAGAGCGGCAGTTGTTCATTGACATCACGTCTGAACAGGTAAGCCACGATAAAAAGCTGTTATGTTTTATTTCTCTTTTACTCATCTTCTCGACTTCAATTTATTCTTGTAGATTTTATAGTGGCGCAAACTCAGTTCATTTTGCAGATAAAATTATTTTATTCACATAACAGGATTGCTTTGTAAATTTCAGTGAAGACTGATAAATGGGTCTGACATACAATACAGTAAGATTAAGTGTCTGTTGCTGTCCAAAATTATCTCGTCCTCCTACTCGTAGCATATACATATTTGATATCATGATAATGTTATCCCCAAATAGTGAAACAAATAAATTATTTTCTGTAGGTAGGTAAGTACAAGTGTCTGCTGTCATTTTGAACAATATGTGATATAACAATGTTGTGGTAGGACAAGTCGTGCGGGTCGTGGAACATCACGTTGCACGAGTGGTCGGGGCCGGGCGGCGGTACGCAGGACTCGGGACTGGCCGCTGCCGCTGGGGACCTTTTGTACACATTCTGTGCCAGGCACAAGAACCACACGTACACCCTACCCTGGCGGCTCAACACTGTCGTCATTAGGTATGTATTCTTTTCACATATTACGTACACGGTGAGGTGTGAGAATTTTTGATATCTTTTACGATACACAACAAACTCGAACAATTCTTACAAATCGATGAGGATTACTGTATTTCTTACCCGATTCATATTCGGTAAGCGTGTACGGCCCGCGTTGTTAGTTCGCTTAGAAGTCAAAAGAAATCTTCCGCCGAGCTTTTAGCGCGATCTAAACAATTTCCAAAAGAAAGAAAACGCCACGATAAATTATTTATGAATGGCCGTCGGCTTTAATACACCAACCAACGTGCCAAATACGTAAGAGCGCATGCTTTTATTTAGCTACTTTCTCGGTACAAAGATCTTTTTTCTTTGTGCATATTAGAGGAAGCCGTAAGAGGGTACGTGGCGTGCTTCCGAAATGACATTTCCACTCGTAAATCCTGAATAACGATGTGTGAAAACATACCTTTGTCGATGAATCGACAGGTCGACGCAAAACGTTCTTTTCGGTGGACGCAGGTGGGATTGTAAATAAAGTTTTTAAGCGCTCTTCGCAGCCTTTCGTGTGAACGGTTTGGTTTTCGACCACGCTTTTTCCAGGACCTGTGTGCACTTCGAGTTTTTGATAATAGCCAATAGAAAAACCGAACTATAGCAAACTCAAAAGCGGGTCGCATTGTATTGCCTATTAGTTATACGCTCGTGGATAGCCGCAGGCTTATGCAAGAGTTAAAGTATTTTTGGAAAATGTATTTAAAATGTAATTCGTGGAAAACCCGACAATGTTTGGTCACGTTTTAGACTTTTATATTTATACAATCAATGCATAAACAAAAACCCAACATATCAAAAAATATGCACAGACTCAAGTTAAACCAAATAATGGGCCAATGATTGAATACATTCATTAACATACTACATATAATACTAATTGAAATTCTAACTAGTATCCTTTCTTCGTAGGTTAGTAGCATTATCTCGTCAGCAGCCGCTGTACACAATAAGATGGCGGTCCCAAGTGGTACGAGCTAACACGCGCCTGGGGCCACCGACACCAGCACCAGCTGCGTCAGCCGCTGCCAATAGCATCATCATCACTAGACTCCTTTTATACCTGCTTTGCTTACCACTTCTAAGACTTTGAAACTACGCTAAGACTTAAGAACTCTGTGGTTCAACTCAGTGTTAAAAACATTAGAAATATATCGAAATCGTGACTTGAAAATCAGTGCTTTAGAAGGAGTGTAAAAATCAACAAAGTGAGTACTTTTGGATGTTTTTATACCTAAGTGCTGTGCTAGATGAAAGATTTTAAGACTATGTGCGTACATTTCAGAGAATTTTCGACTAGAAACAGCGAATAAATTAACCATCATCGTCAAAGTTCTTTGTTTTACTGGTGTGTAAACGTAAACAAGACGTGATAAAGTATCTTATTACTTTTTTATTTCAATTACAGGAGTGTTTAAAAGAAACTTTTTTTGTATGAACAGACCTTTAATTCTTATTACTGTACTCATGTATTAACAGTTCTATAATATAGGTACTTACTAATCAAAATATTTTTTATAAGAAAATCCCTCTGACACAGCTATTGGCTTTGTGCTGAATTGTGTTGAAAAACACTTAGTTTATATTTTAATTTTTAGTATTTTTAAAAAAATAATATTATTTTTAATTATTAATGTTTTAATTATTATTATTATTATTTAAGCGACTAATGTGTAAGCTTTAATACGTCAATAGGAATGATTTACGAAATAAATTATTTAATTTTAACGTCTTGATTGGTCCATTATGATAACAACACATTATTTTAAATGAAGTAGCACCGCTCTCAAATAATTCTGTCATTATTATTACTATATAAGATCCGTCTTCACATAATATAAAAATATCAGCTAATTGGAATCTATAGAACTTTACTATCAAAGAGTTTGAATGTTTGATACATAGTTTAGTTTAGTTTCGAAGATTGGACTGATTTGAAATCTGGAACGTACGTTGCACTACATATAGTTTTAAGTATATATTAAAAAAAAATACACAAACCAATAAATCAATGAATCGAAATCACTATGAGATATTATTATAGTTTACTGGGTGCTACTTTCAGTGAATAGTAAAGTTAATGCAAAAAGTGGTTACTTGAAATTTGTTAAAGGTAATATGATTTTCGTAGGTAAATTGTTGATTATATGTTTACGATTCATGTTATTTCAGATACAATGTAATTTTTAAATGATTAAATAAATGAATGAATGAATATTGCCGAAGGAGAATAAAGAGAAATAATGTTACTAAAAATGTTAATCTAACCTTGGACTCTAAGACCCAGAGGTAGCCTCGCCAGTACCATCAAATGTCTAGACAGTTAGTATATATAAGAAAAATACATTTTTAATACGACGAGACGGGATCCCAAACAACATTTCAAGGTTTTAATCTATTTTGTTTGCAGCATAAATACTTAATTTAAAAAGGTCGTAAGTATGTAATGAATGAAAGCAAAGGAAACCAGTCATTACTAAATTAAAAAGTTATAAATAAGAACAGTAGCGAGGGCAATCGAGTGTGTTTTCAATTTAGTTGATTTATCTTTAGTTATAAATCTAACTGCAGGGAGTAGCGCTCTGGTACATGAAAACAAGCACATGAATCAAACGCTGCGTCGAAAATATTCTAACGGTCTAACACAACCTAGTTGGCAATAGTTGTTTAATATTTCACCATTTTTAGCTACCACGGTCAATATAGTTATTTGAAAAAAAAAGTTAACGTTACAATCTACATAATAATATAATTTTTTACAATCAAGATAAAAAAAATAGAAATTATGTCAGAACAAAACAAATCTCACACGAAATTGTTTTATTCTTCTTTGAATTTTTATTATCTTTTTGTATTTATGCTAAAAATAACTATTTTGTTATTTGTTTGAAAAAAAAAAGAAACGAAAAGAAAATCTTACAAAATGTATCAATGATATCTGGGCTGTTTAACGAGCCTAACAACAATAAAATCTTTCTCGATACCATCTCGAGTTTTTCATCGATATCTAGCTTCATTGGCGAAACAATAGAATTGTAACAAGTCATGGATATCACTCCAATTTCATACCAAAAGATATTCGTATCGATAGCGAAGCTGTGTCGATATCGATAGTCTGCTAGGGATGTAAACAATGTGCGATAAAGTATTATGTAAATATTGAATGTATAAGCTTAAACGAATCCCTTAGTATAGTATAAAGAACCTCCGAAGACTTTTTGGATAAGTAGGAAAAATAATGTCGCTTCAATAAATTGTGCTTTTTGACGCTGTTCTGTTATTTATAAATTATATTTTTCTTTGTTGTACATGTAATATTAAAGTGTATAAATGGCTGATTAAATAAATAACTGTCTTACTGTCAATTATAAATTTGTAGAATAATAAATCTGAAATTGTTTTTTCTACATCTCGCTGTTTAGTACTTCTCTGCTAAAAATATTAGTTTGTCTGAAAAATTGTTATTGTTCAAGTCTCGATCCAAATTTATTTTATGCAATCACTCTGCCGTATTCCATAATTTTACGTGCAAATAGATTTGCGTTGACCAATGAAATAAAAATCACCGAGCAAAATAAAATAGCTCTGCAAAGCAATTGAATCGTTTGAAATCAATTCGAACAAAATAATAAATGCACGAAAAAAATATTTTAATTACTATCACACGCAATTTCGAATAATAAATATATAAATTTTAATCATCTACTCCTGCAGCACTTCACGGGGATTGAATTTGCAAAATATTACGTACGTCAAACACAAATCTCACGGTTCGAATTTAGAGGTTTATTGGAATAGAAACACAATTGAAACAGAATAGGAAATGTTTTTGCACGATCGCGATGTGTTATTTGTTTTAGATATCGCGATAGATGAGAAAAGTATTATTGCGCAGTAGATAGAACACGGAGAACTATTTCACTGACTAATGTTGTACTCGAACTCGTGTTCATGTGAATATATTTACCACGAATATCCCATTTCATTTCTCTGATACATAAAGATTGGAACGCGTGGGCACGCCATAAATGTAACTGTGGTTCGGATATGTCTCACAATATTTGTTTCTCTATCTCTATTCATTGAACTGTAGTTGTTTAATTTTCATATCAATTGTAGAAGCAACTTCGCAAGCCATTGTTCGGTAACAGCTTTATCAATACGTTTAAATAAGTTCACGTTGATCTGTAGCAAATTTTGTGTAATATTAAAAATTATCAATTATGTAACTAGATTATAATAATAGATTAGATGTAAATAGTTCGGACAAAGTTGGCATTATCTCTTCTTCGTAAAACTGACGATAACCCAAACTTTGTCCTCTAGAGATTAAAAGCTAACTTTAATAGGTAGGTAGATGATTCTACGTATAAAATAATGAATAATGTTTGTTACACTGAAATAGATAAAATGAAAGCAATTTGTGTATCATTTTTTTATCCTTCAAACCACCCCAACAAACAGAAAAAGTGTACTTATATAGGAATGTTACACTAATTCACATGTCACTTATATGTAGTAGGTGATATCAGTTCAAATAACATAAAGGAGATTCTCACTTACATTTCAAACGCAGTAAAACCACTTATGGTCACTTCTGTGGACAAAAACCTGATGCATCCTGCCCTAGCCCTCTCATATAAAGTGGAACTGCCGAGCCATGCAACTGTCATGAACGAGTGTCGAAATATAGATGGATTTAAGAGCTCTCACAACTAGATAACTTGGCTGTTGGCTGTAATATACACGAAGATAGATAAGACAGATAAGATAATTTTAAGTGTGGGAGAGCCATGTTTCGGCACGAATGGGCCGGCTTGACCGGAGTGATACCACAGCCTCACAGAAAACAGACGTGAAACAACGCTTGCGTTGTGTTTCGTCGTGTGAGTGAGGTTACCGGAGGCCTCTTCCCCAGTCTCCCCAATCTCCGAATCCCCCACAATCCTCAAACTCCTAATTCCCAAAAGGCCGGTAACGCACTTGTAATGCTTCTGGTGTTTCAGGTGTCCATGGGCGACGCCGATTGCTTACCATCAGATATCCGTCGGCCCGTTTACCGGCTTATCTCATAAAATAAGGGAATCTAGATACTATTACTGGCTCTTTTTGTTATTATTTTGTGTGTTATTCGGTGGTCATGTCCAGTGGCGAATAAATTATTTTTTTACTTTTTTATTTATTTCTTCTTTCTTTCTTTCTTTCTTTCATTTTGGGTCCCATGGGAATAATTTATTTAATCTAGGCTTTAAAATGATTTGCCAGACTACGTCCACAGATGGACAAAAGCCTTCCTCCTTAGTTTTACCATAGTTCCCCACCCTTGCATGTGACTTTGCGAAAATTTGGAGGATACTACAACCCATCCTACACTGATTGATGACAGCGACAATCATGAGCATGATCCAAAAATAAATATATTATTGTTTAATTGATAAACTTAATCATCAAATATCTTTGCAACGAAATATTTTCATAGAACAATCAGAAATCTTGTTTAAAAATTAAAACCAAGTGCTATCAAATATTAATTAATACTTCTAATACATCATACTTAGTTTCTCATAAATTGCTGAACACTTTCCTAGAAGACCAATGCCGTGCGATTGATGTTTTAATTAAAAAGCGAAGCAGTAGTGATGCCTTATATTTGTACGTAGTGGTAACAGTGCTGTAGAGAGCTGTGCCAAGAACTGATTACACGCCGTCTTTTACGTTTGATCCGAGCCACTAGAGTTAACAAAATTATAGGAGCAAACATTGAAGGAAGCATGGAAGGCTTTATCAGTTCGATCGTGCCTCAGTTTAAACTTTCCATTTGGAATGTTCGCCTCTGCCTTTCTTTAAACTTCCCCTCTCGCCTTTGAGGTTTCTAAGATGGAAACTTCTTTTTAAGATAGGTTCCGATCTAGTACTTTTATTTTTCTCTTTACTCGCCATTACGGTACTAGTGTTTACAGTGTCGAAGGATTTTACAGTCGGGCTTATATGTATAAATTCAGTGTCTCGTTAGTGCTATTAAATGATATTTACTTTTTTATAACATAACATCTCGCCATTTATCCCCGAAGGGGTAGGGCAGAGGTGCACAAT